CTGGTTATTTTATTAAGTGATGATAAAAATGTTTGATCTCCGCCAATAAGCTTGAGTAAAGTTTAAGATAAATCTCACACATACGTCGTTCTTAAAGTTATTTTAAAATCTAAAAGAGTATAAGCACAATTTTTATTACAGATATTTGAAGTTCTAATTTGAACGAAATTCAAACAAAGAATAACGATTTTAATTAGATATTCATTGTTGTTGTTCAATAATATTATTCTTGGGGGTTTGAAACTTTTACGTAGTTATATTTTATTATGAAATGAACAGTATATATAATTTAGTTTTAAGATACTGCCTATTTATACCATGGACTTACTCACATCATTATTTGTTGAGTTTTTATTGACTCAACAGCCAAGACTGATATAAGTTGTATAAATATAAAATAATATAAAAAGTACAATGTTTTTAGGAAAAATTAGTTCAATCTATGCACATTGCTTATGGTGAAATTAATGACTACGTTAGCAATACAAATATATAATAAGCTACAGTGGCACAGCTAGGGTTCATTTTTATATTTAATTTCGAACTTTTTATTTGTATAGTATTATTAAAGTTTGATTTATAGTTAAATTGTTTATACTATTATGATGCGGTTTGTTGAAATGACATGATTTGCCATTACTTATTGTTCTGAATAGACTATCACGTAAATTATACCGCACTGAGGGTGAAAATGTACTCTTTCGGAATTCCATAAAACAAAACAATATAAAACCAGGATTATGACAAGTAGTTATGACAAATCTTAAACTATAATTTTAGAAAAAAATTATTAGTCGGAAACGAAAACCTAAACTTTAAACCTTTTTTAAATTTTGGTGGAACGAAAATTTGGTTTTTGGCTTCAATCTTTAAATTACAAATGCAATGGTTTACTTTTTATTCATAGACAATGCATATTGGAAAAAAAAGGAGAGTTCTCATTAAATATTTACATACACTTGGTCCTTTACAAGTATATGCTTTAAATTTCTTTACAGATTATATAAGACGTATACAACTAAGTAGTACGTATAATTTGTTTAAAAAAAACAAACTCATAGGTATGTTTGTGTGGGGGTCCCCTGCCTCTGGTAGCACAACTGGTAAATTATACTCGGTAATAAGTAATAACAAATATAGGCAGACTGGCGGTATCGTCTTAGAATACTAGTTTGAATACAATGAATTATCGTTGAATTTCAATTTAACCTGTCCATTATAGTAACCTACTCAGTGAATAGGTATACTCGACACCTACTGCAGTACTTACTTTTCCCACTTTTTTTTAAACATTTTTTTAGTACAAAAAATATTGTCAAATGAGAATGTTTGAATAATAAGAGAAAATAATATATTAAACATTCTTTTTTTGTTTGCCGATTCCATTCTGCAAACTGACCGAAATAGGAGAATCATGGCAGCGACCCATTATGCTGTTATTAGACCAATTAGTTACTCCTTTAATAATAGGATTAAAAGACCGAGGGGAATTTCGCATCAGTACGAGGCTCGAAACCACTGAAAGTATAATAATACAAATGGCTTGAGGGCATAAAATAACGAGTGTCAACCAACCATGCTAAGAATACATTTTTGATTGAATCTACTATACTCACAGTGTCACAAAGGGAATATGTTTAGTTAAAAAAAAAAAACTTTTATGCATACTTCTTTATATTATTCACATAATGTTTACATATTATAAACCACATTCATACAAAGTAAATAAATTAATAAATTAAATAACTGTTGAAACTATATCAAGAAATTGTTCACAATAGAATTTCATTATTTTTAAACAATATTCTTTGTACTCGAAACTCAGATGAAATATTCGATATATTATCAAAATATTAATAGATCAAACGAATTCATATGTTGTAAAAATGTATACAATATTAATAGTATTATGCATGGGTAATAACTAACCATAGTTGAAGGTACCTATTAAATAATTAATACATTTTTACACATTCATTAATAGTCGAATACAATTTTGGACAAACTTAAAAAAAAAGTATGTGAAAATTGGTAAAAATTAAATTTAACAAAGAATATGATACAATTGATTACTTTAAGTTGAAAATGAAATGAGTGAAACAAATTATTTTAAAAATGTAATATAATGTGATGACATAGAATTATATAAGAATCATCCAAAAAACAAGACTTATAATAGTGCTAACTTTATTGATACATTAAATATATATTATATTAGTTTATATTTTATAAACTAAGATTTCCTAGAATTTAAAATTTTTTAAGATCGCTAACCTTAAAATAAACTACATGGTGAAGTCCGATGTTTTTGAGAGTAATTATAGAAACAGCCCGTCAATTTTTGATGCTTCCAAAGTTCTGTTTGGGTTATTTGTATGTAATTGTGTAGTTTATGGTAAACGAATTAATAATTCATCATAATTAAATAACATTTTGAAACAAGAAAAAATAAGAAAAACAGGAATATTTTGAGAACATCCGGTTTTGAAAAAATCGATTTTATTATTTTATATTTAGATAATATAGTCACATATTTTTATTAGGGATCGAAGTTCGAATGTTGATGAAATTTGTAAAAATACAGCAGAGGGACTTCTTCGTTCTTTTTACGGTTCAAAACATATACTAGAAGTTGGAGTTTGATTTGAGTATAGTTCAAAAGTTTCCAAACTATTTAACACAAATAAAAATAATATACTACTCACTTGTCAATATATTTGAAATATTCTAAAACAGCTAAGGTATAAAAAAGAGTGAGCTAAGAATTCTCGTTAGATAATTTCATATTTTTACTCTCACGGGAAATTTAAGGTAAAAAAATATACTGTTTTGGTACTTTGTTAATCAGGATTCTGATAATTCATCTGACTCGCTTCCAAATCTCTCAACGCACTACAGTTTGAAGGGAACATTGTCTTATACGCCTAGTAGTTTCATAAGAAGTTTAATTAGACATAGGTATGTATAATAATACTAAAGCTTCTCAAAATCCATCTTTAAATATATTAATCCTGTTAATTATATCAGTCTTATATATTTATTTATTGTGAGTAATTGTATATATTAATGTAGTATAATGAATAAATAAAACAAATGTTAGTATTTCAGAAGTATAAATTCAAAAGTTAAAAGTGATTTAAACGGATCTCAGTAAAATCTCGGGTGCTTTGATTTTAATTTTTTTACACGTTCTTACGATTTTTCGATATAACATTTTTATAATTCACCTTATGCTTGGAAAAATGTTTACGAAAAAAAAAAAAAACAAATCAATGATTATAAAATAAATACATTCATTGCTTATTTAAAGATGTTAATTTTGGAGCCATAATAACTGATAATTGATAATCGTGTTCAATAATAAATTAATTGTGTTGTATAGAGTTGAGCATATTACGATAATTGTATACTGTATTGTAATTACCTAAATTTTTATGTGACCATGTATGTAGTTGGAGATGTTGAATTTTCTAAAATATTTGAAAGCTTAGTGACTACTATTTTGTTTATGCATTTCAAGCATACCAGTTTTATAATATTATTATGATCATAAATATGTTTTTTAATAACGGCATTATATTTCCGTATGCGTTATACATAGCAATTTAAAAATAAACACAGTTTTTTTATCATATCTCTTACTCAATTTGTTTTGGTAATTTATACCTGAATTAGCATTAAATAACATTATGCCACTTAAATGTTGCTGGATGTTTGGATTACGCAATTTTAAATATTTATACCTTTCAAAAAAAAAGAACAATAATAAATCAGTCAGCTTAATATTATTATCTTCTACGAAACCTTAAGCAGAAAGTAAGAAATGCAGAAAATCGAAAAATCCCGTTATATCTTCCTGCCGACATCCGTCATTCGAAAAACGGGAAACTACCGAGAACTCGACGACGTAATTTTTCGGCCGGATGCGTCTCGCGCTGTCAGCCGTTGTTGGCCAGTATAATAATCAGCAGTAATTGTTGTGAGTGTAGGGGTTGAGTGACAGTTGAGATGAGAGAACAGCTACTTTCTGCGTTAACCCTCCGGACGTAAACTTCTTATCTTTCTGACGAGTTTTGAAATTGCTACGAAAGGTATTAAAATGAGTATTAAAAACATAAAAAACAAAATCGTTTTAAGACGAATTGCGAAGGTTGAAAGGAGTGGGGTAGCTCAAAGCCGTACAACAACTAGTACGAGACCCTCGGTATTCGAATATCTTTTATTTTCTCGTAATTTTCACACTCTCGTAGAAATCCCGAAATCACGTAATTTCAAAAACAAAACTCACACAATTTGTCCGGGAAACACTAAAAGAAATGGTTTTTCACTTTTCTGAAGAAAATACTTATAACTTTTATTATTCTGTTTATAAGTTTTGGATTTCACGTTCATAAAGTTTCGTTGGTATTCAATTGACGAACAACCATACATGTGTCTATTACATAGACTGAAAATATAATATAGACTATATATATAGGACATACATTAGATACATAGACTAAACTAGGTATATTGTATATGTACAACTGCATGTACAAGATTCTGTGTACCAAATAAATTCCAATATATAGTTATTGAATTGCACTAAATATTAATTTATATTTATTACTAATCTTCAAGTTCGTATTTATAATACTCAGTCCATCTACTTGGTATGAAATTACCAGTTAAATACAAATAGTAAATACATTTGGCATAATATTTATTTAGTACACAGTTTGGTAACTCTTGCATATTTTATACTCCATATAACAATATAACTTGTTTTCATTGATGAATAATAAAAATTATAATCGAAAATGTCGGTGTTTAACAATTAATAATTGGTTCCGGCTTAGTGTTGTATGTAGGTACCTATATGCTCTGAAAATTAAAATTGATAATTTTTTATCTGAATGTAAATCTTGTGTTGTTTTTTAATTAGAATATTGGTTTAACATGTTTTTGGGGAGGATTTTCTGATAAACCTTTTTTTAATTAAAAAATGTATAATTTGACAGAGTTCCTGTTTACCGTTTCGATACGTCTATTCGACGACCGAAGGACATCAGATTGACATTTCCACAAACCGGGAATTGATTGTTCTCAAAGGTATTTTTGTTTTTACTTTTATTTTATTAAGATAAGTTTCCAATTAATATTGTGTTATCTTGTATATACTGAAAGTCTGAAAATGTAATAAATACATTTGATATTGACGGTGGATAAATGTTGATTATTTTTCAACTGATGCCTATTAAATAAAAATACGCTCCTTCAACTTAGGTGGCATTATATTATAAGCATTTTGTAACTGAGTGATTATGGTATTATCTGTCAGTTTTAAATCGTTTTAAATCGTATTATATCTTTAATATTATATTACCGTATAATAATTTGAAAAGATAAAATTTAAGATACAAACTTGGTTGGATAGAAATATTTATTGGATTTTAAAAAATAGTCAATTAACTATAAAAAAGTTACTCAACTAAAAAATTTCAAATACGATATTCTAAAATATTATTTACTACATAATTAAAAATAATAAAACTATTTCAATGGGAAACTAAACAATACTCGTAAATGTAAAATTTATATTTAATTGTGCATGAATGTATGTAGCGACGTGCAGTCATCAAGTGAAATCGAAAAAAAACATGACAGTATCTTTGTCAAAAATAATTAGGAGTCTGTCGTTGATACACAAACATTTCCTTAACATTTTTAAAGATTAACGATTATTGCTTACTGAGTTGGAAACTATTTTCATTGACAACATTTCATACCACTCACCAAAGCTTATTACCTTCCCAAAATCAAAAAAATATAATAATATTTTCTTTTCAAACCCTTATTTCATTAAAAGCTATTAAATTTAATTTCTATACCACAAGCTTAATGGGTTGCTTTAAAATGTTGTTACAAGAAACTTCAAGGAAAATAAAATAAATAATGAATTTAACTTCTCAGACTGTTTAAAAATGTAAATCGAGTAAATACGATTTTCATGTTAAGTTACACTCTATTGGTTTCGGTTATATTAATTGTTTCTATATTTAATTAATATCACATCGACATCATCTCATGTTAAATTAATACTGTGACATTATAGTAAATAGTTTAAAATTCTCAGGATAATGTGTAAATATGCGGTTTAATATTATTATTGTAGCGTGTTTACTTATGCAATAGTTAGAGGGTATTTGGTGAGTATCGATTAGCTATGACCTATGGGTATATTTATCGTTGGGAATTTATCGTATATTAAAATACTATACTATAGTGATATCCCTAAGTTTGTAAGGTTTTCGAAACGATTCGAAGGTTAGCCGTATTGCGTAAGGGTAAGTATTACCTGTTACTGTAAATACTCTTGGTTGATAATAAGTTGGTGATTAATTATTCTGATTAGACCATTTTATTAATATTTTATAATATTTTATAGTAATTCTGTTCGTTTACTATTGCAGGCTCCACCTCTAGTATACATTTATAATTCTCTTTCCAAATCAGAGTGTATTTTCCGTGTCAGTCTAGATTTGACTTGCTTAAAATAAAACGTTTACGCCTCGTTTTCAATGAAATGTGTGCGGAACTGCGGCAGTGCGACTTGCGGCTTGGCAGTCCTAGTGCAAATAATAATAAATATATTCCCTGGACGCGGTTATGTGATGGGGGTGGTCACGTGGCGTCCGATATACGTAATTTATCATCAGATGGGTGACCTGAGCATTTGGCAAGGCACAGGTATCTGCTACCAGAATATACCAAACAGCGTATACCCATAGGCCTTATAATATAAGGTCTACGCGTATACCACACGCACGTTTCATACCTATTACCTAGTATAATATTATTATTTTAGATAACGAGCAGTGTATCCTTTTGGACGGTGCTAAGTCTCCCGGCAAATCGTATTGCGCGTGTGTGTGTGTGTGTGTGTGTGTGATATATCGGTGGCATGACCGGTGGCGTACACACAAACACACTCTCGCACATACGGGTAGGCGACCGCACCGACGGAGACGGTCATCCCGCAGCCCGCCGTTTTGTGTGCACATGCCTCAACTGTTTACGACACGCGATTTTAGGGGAAACCTCGTTAAACGTCCTTTCGCGTTATTAATTATTATTATTACTTGGACCAGTAATGTCGTTATTAATTGGCGTACCGGAAGTGAGTGAGCGCGTGACAAGAAGGGTCCACTGTTGTACATGTATATATATATATATATATATATTATGTACGTAATATATTACACATTGTATATGTATGGTACAATTATATATAATATGTTTATACATAATATAGCCGATATCTATATAATATACCCGTTCACAGCGAATTCCTTGGAGAAAGGAAGAAAGGACATTGCAAGCTACGCGTGTTTTTTCCGTTGACCTTATCCGTCCACCTCTAATGACCTGTTGACCAACAATACCGCCACCAGATATGTGTGTGTGTGTGTGTGTGTGTGTATACATATATATTATTTTATTTATATCACATCATATAAATTACGATGGATAAATTCCAAAAGCGATCGGCTACAGTAGGTATGTAAGTATGTTTCATACGAAACTAAATCGCAGTAAATTGTTTGAATAGCATGCACGGAATAAAGACAAATAATATTACAAAGTTATACATTTTTCTCGATATATTGTTGTCATTGACAACAATGCGTTTATGATAATATACGCTCGTGGTAAATTATTTAAAATATTTTATATGTTATTTAAAAAAATATTTTTATCGTGGTCAAAGGAGAGTTTTCGTACGAACTCCTGTAACGGGATTCTAGATTTCTCGTCTCATAAATTAATATCAATGTAATATTTCACCTTACAAATACCACTTAACTATACAGGAAAAAATGCATGTATAGAATATTATTGTTTACAGATTTGATTGTATAATTTATTAATCCCATGACATAAATCAACAACACAGTTTTTCGGCTTACACAATACTGCAGCTGCAACACATGTCTACTTTTACTGTATATTATAAGGATTTTGACAATTCAACCAGAGAATGCATTAAAAAAAAAAAAAAAACAATAATTTAAAAGTCGCCTTTGTTGTAGGTACGTACGACGTATACCTGAGGACCTTAAATTATTTACCGTAAAAGAGATTAGTTTGAAAAGAAATTGCACAGTAGTCGGGCGATTCGTTTTGTGTAAAAACACGTGTGTTTCAAGTACCTATCGCGTTCATCTACCGATCGAAAACGGAAGCAAATAAAATAGGGCCATAAACTTATTGTGCTTTACCCGGTCACCGAATACGAACGATTACAGAAATATAATAGTTATTACTCATAATAGTTCATAGTTTATTAAAATATAAAAAGATCTTAAAACCAGTGAAACCCTAACCCGCATTCACGGGTATAATTCTCAAGTGTGCGTTTCCTGTTTATTTATTTTTTCCCCCTTGACGATTTCAGTGGCGGTGTTGCATGTGATACATGGTGGTATAATAGTACGCTGGTGGAGTGGGTAGTCGCCAATCGCCATTCTGTTTGTGTGTGTGTGTGTGTGTGTGTGTGTGTGTGTGTGTGTGTGTGTGTGTGTGTGTGTGTGTGTGTGTGTGTGTGTGTTTAATCAAGAAGTCTGCATTTACGTATTTGCCGTTCGGTACAGACTTGTGTTTTTGATTTCGGATGAATGGGATCTACCAAGAAAGGAAATAGAGTCCTTAATGAATGATATCACTTTCCGCGGCCCAGAAAGTCATAGGTCCTAGCTAGATGGAAGATTAATCAGGAAGAGACGAATGAAAAGTTTCGACGGAAATAAATCTAAAACAATCAGATGTTTTCCTGTTTTTATTTTCTCGTTCTGTGGTACCACGCGTATTTAACTTAAATATATATATTTTTTTTTACAAAACTGTAAAAACTATTAGACACGCAGTTTGAAAGTAATATGTTTATTACGGTACACGCACTTCAACGATACGAATCAGATATTATAATATACAATTATTGACTTATCAGTATACTTCATTTAATATTACAATCAAATATTTACTATATACTCATGCGTGCATTAATAATTCTATGCTCGTATTTCGAACATTACTATATTGTTAAAAAGTTAAAACTTACCTACCTTATATAGTAGTGGGTAGTTACGGGTAAATTACTTTTGGTATCGAGTTTCATACACCCAATTTACTTGCCAATGATTTTTCGTTTAACGACCTCGTAAAAAAAAACTATTACTTACTCCCGTAACAATACTCCGAGTAAACGCATCATTGAATTCAACCCTGTCTATGATTTACCAGAACACCAAGAATTTAAGATCTTAACGTCTTTCCATTGTACCAGTACCTCCTAAACTTCAACAGTGAAACCGATATTTTATCGATTTATATTTTCACATAAAACTCAATAGTATCATATTTTTAACAACCAAAGCAAGTTGTAAGCACAACAAACACAATTCGCGCGGGTATTTAGTTTTAATTTTAGTCTTTAGACCATTAAACAAGGTACCTATATTGTATTAAATTAGGAATCTGCGAGAGACCCCTCAAATAAACACATACACTAAAATTCGAATATAAAAGAAGGATTTATATTTGTTGTACTCTAGATAAACTGTGGGGATCCCCCGCATTTTCAGTAACTGTTTTTCAACCTAAATGTGTAGTCATCTAGAAAATAACGAATGCACATTGGCACTGTAGCTACGTTGTATAATATGCATTTAATAGCTTGTAGAATTAATTTGTAATTATATTAAAATCAATTTATTGGATTTCAGTGTTCTGTTTGTAAAATAAATGCACGAGTAAACTGAGATCATATAATATTGATATAAGATTGTTTTATTGTCAAGCACTTGTATACATTTTATTGTCAAGCACTTTTATAGAATTTATTGACTATGAAAGCACTACATTATTTTTAACATAAAGAAAAATAAAATGGTCTAAATGGTGATAACAGAATTATTAAGATTTTATAACTTTGTACGCCTGCTAGTGTCTAATCTAGTTTATGTAACACATAAACATTAGCATTTTTACTGAAATTGTCACTATATTAGCTAGAAAACAATATTCTGAATTGAGTATATTTTATCGAACAA